AAAAAAAAAAAAAAAAAAAATATATATATATATATATATATATATATGCAATGGTTTGTGCAGAAAGTCCAGTATTTTCCAGTGACTGAGTAAAAGTACAACAGGGAAGTACCAATGCAGACAAAATAGTTGGTACCCCTTCACAATAAAAATAAATTAAAATCTAGTATCTGTGAAATACCTGAACCAGACAAAAGTTTGTGGCATTCCTTGTTGTTTTTTCTGGTGGTTGGTCGATCGATCGATCGATCCATCCATCCATCCATCCATCCATCCATCCATCCATCCATCCATCCATCCATCATCTTCTGCTTAATCAACCACTGCCAATAATTGATGTGTGCTTTACAATGAGATATCTGCAGGTACCAACAGGTATGTTGGCCACGTCTTCCTGAGCAAGCGTCTCCAGCTGTTTCAGGTTTAAAGGATGCCGCCGTAACACTCCAATTTTCAGATTGCTCCATAGATGTTCAACTAAGATCTAAGCTCATGTGAGACGTCCAGGGTTTCTTTTTCAGCCACATTCTAATGTTTTAACTGTGTAGTTTGGGGTCATTACACTGTTGGAGGACCCAAGACCTGCGACTGAGACGGAGCGTTCCGACACCGAGCAGTACATTTCCTCCAGGGTACCTAGACAGTCTGAGACCTCATTGTTTCAAAGTTCTCTGTGATAAATGAAGCAAAGCAGCTCCAAAACAAAACTGAGCCCCTTTTAGGTTTCACAGTAGGTAAGGCGTTCTATCAGTCCCAAAAACTTTGAGGGTTTGTCAACATACATTTTGGTGTCGTTTGTGTTTTCCTTCCATTAGTAGAACCCTCCTTTAAGTTCTCCATGAAGTTTAGTATAAATCAAAACGTGACGATGCAATCGGAGAGTGACATACCTTGATGCTAGAGTTCAGCTTGCATGGTTTTCAATGGTTTCCTTGGCTCTTTTTCTCTGATCTGCACTACAAGTTTGGTCAAGCTGGGGATGCAGTTCCTCTTGCATCCACATTTTGGGAGGTTGTCTTATGTAACATGACCCTTCTACAATTTGTTGATATGGGCAGCTGTGGTCAGAGGAACATGAAGCTGCTTGGTCTTGTAGCCTTTTCCTTTAGTATAAATATCTAAAATTGTTTTTCTAAGGTCCTCCGACGGCTCTGGCGTTTGGTTTTCTGCTTCATGTTGGTTCCCTTTAAATAGTCATGAAAACCTTCAAGGCACCTGTAAAACTAATTAAGGTGAAACTCTTATTTTGAGACATGACTATACAGCAGTCCCTCGTTTATTGCGGCGGTTATGTTCTGGAACCCCCCGCAGCAATAAGTGAAAACCTGAAAAGTAGGGATGTTGTATTTATTTTAGTACTTCTATTCAGGCTTTATTCATCCAACCTTTATTTCTACAGGTTAGTCTCATTGAGCCTCAAGGACTCATTTACAAGAGAGACCTGATTTAAACAAAGAACTCCAATGAGGTACAGAAACAGTCAATATCAACCTATACTTCTAACCCAGTTGTGATCTGGGTATAAAAACCCTTTCCATACTCTTGCAATGTTCTAAATTCTTAAAAAGAGCTGGGCGAAATCTCAATATTTTAAAAATATTGAGATAATTTTTTTGCAATACAAAATGAGACTATATCGATATAAAACGATAGTGTTATACTTGAAAATCCACCTACTGTCTTCTTGCGCCCAAGCAGCCTACCCAACAGTGAGAGTTGGTGCGACATTAATAAATCAGCAGTTTATCATAGGGCTGGGCCATATATCGTTCACAATACCAGTAAAAAAAACTTGCCCGGGAAAATAAATTATGTCATGATATACTAATTTCATGATGTAAGTATGTCAGTGTTTCCCCCACCATTAGACAAGCGGGGCGCCCCGCCCCATTAACAGAACCAAGCACGCTTAACTACCAAACTAAACTGTGCAACCCCCCCCCCCCCCCCCTGTCAGTACTGACGTAACTAGGGATGCACCAATCCACATGTTTTTAAACTTCTGATACAATCTGATACCTACATCTGGATATCGGCCAATACAATACTATTCCAATATCATGATCATCATTGATTTTACATGAGGCTGTAATAATCTACCTGCATTATTGAGCATGCATCACAATCTCCTCTCAAGTACAATTTGTACATATATATGCATGCATGTCCAAAAAGGCAAGTTGAGGTAAGTTTTATTAATGTTGGATAAGTTTCAAAGTTAGAATTAAATCCTGCTAACACAAAATATGTTTTTTGTTCCTAGCTTTAAAGTCAGAGTCAGAGTTTTATTGTCATATGCACCACATGTGGTGGAACGAAATTATGTCCACAGGGTTCCAGTTACATCCAACAATAAAATGTAAAAGAAAAACAGCAATAAGATCTAAGATATGAACAAAGAAAAACATTAAACTAAATATACACTAAGCACTAACAGCATAAAAACAATAAAAACTATATGCCGAAGTGGACATTAAGGTGGATATTAAAGTGATTAAATGGCTTCAAACATCTGCTAAGTTCATGGCATAAACTAACAGACACGTTCCTGTTTTTAGTATTTACATCACTTTATAATGTAGCTGTTTTTGTTTCTTTTTTTAAATATAATTTTATTTTATTTTTCAATTCACATGTTTTTTTATGATTGTCTACTGTTGCACTGATAAATATCTCGTGGAGGGTAAACATAAACTATAACTTGGCTGCAAGTATGAAGCTGTGAAGCAGACAGTCTGTTTCAGTCTGCTCCTCCAGACGGGCAGACTGAAACCAGACTGTCTGCTTCAGACTGAACGAGAGGAACACACCGCTGAAGCCACGGAGCTCGAATGTCCAACGTAAAACTAACTTTACCACGGCGCCTGGCTAAACAATCCTCGTGCTCTTCAATGTGGTGCTTTTTCAAATGTTTATTAAGTTTGATGAAAAGTTTGTTAGCTGTTAGCCACAGTGCTGCTCAGTCCTCATGTTGTAGCTGCTGCAAACTATGAACTGGATTTCCTGAATGTGAGGCGGGTCTTATTACTCTGGGTTCATGAGACACGCCTCCACTCAGGAAATCCATTCCATAGTTTGAAGCCAACGTGCAGAGCAACTGGCAGGGAATCACATGAGGAGATGTTTCATCAGACACAGACATGCATCATGGATCATGGACCATCATGAAGATGATACCAATACCGGATCGGCCCCATCCGTAGGTGTAATGCTAATGTCTCTCTGTTCCACAGTCCATGGAGCAGGAACAGAGTCATGTGATCAGAGACAGAGCATCAGAGAAATTAATCATTCCTGCAGGAACAGAGGAAACACCACAAGCTTCAGGGTCACATGATAACCTTGTCACAAGTTCTGGAAGTTATAGCTCATTTAAAGACAACATATATTTTGTTACATTTATGCTCAACAGATCTTAAGATTCATTTTATTTAGTTATTTTGGGAAACTTCACCTGCACTTTAGTTTTTGTGGTGGATTTATTGATCTATATTTTGTACAGACGTTTAAAATCTAAATAACAGAAGGATCAACAAAGTCCATGCTCAATAATCCAGGTATACAATCCAACATTTTTCAGTCAGGTCAACTGGACAGTTTCTTTTTTTTGTGCTGAAACATTTCGCCTTTGATCTGGAAGGCTTCATCAGTCAAGGAATCGAAGTCGAAATGTTTCAGCACAAAAAAAAAGAAACGTTGGTTACTACTGTAACCCCAGATTCTATGAGTATAGGCGTAGCCCTTTAAGAGCTGTAGCTTAGTGGGTTCCATCCCATCATGCCGTCATCCCGTCACGTCTGTCTTGCTTTCCCACCCCCTTAGTGTACCTCAAGTCACTCGGAGCATCAGATACAGAGAACGGTACAATAAAAATGAAGGCAATTCATAAAGAGATGAAAGGAATACGTGATCACCAACCTGCAGCCAACACCTTCGTTTTTCGCCCTTTCAGCAGTTTCTGTACTCGGCAAAGCTGCAGGTGGTTCTCGTGCCGTTGAGTATTGTCGTGGATGCGCTGGGACACCTCAGACACTGCAGCTGTAGCCCCTACACCAAACACAATTCTTTTTAGACACAAACAATTGTACTGTCTAGTTATTAAATATAAAATGACTGAGTAGGACTGTGCATGGTGTACAATACGTACATTAATGTATAAACTCAACTAAACAGTTTTTATTCAATCATTGGCACATTGCACATGCACATCTTGATTTGGATGCTGGTCAGATTCATCATCAAATTCTACTCCCTCTTTTTACCTTGTGGATGCCATTTCTTAGTATCCACTACCATTCTGGCCCCTTGAAGCATTCGGAGGCACCAAGTCAAATCCTTCTTAATGGGGCATGAGTAATTGTTCAGTCATGGTGCGTGATGCACCAACATGTACCAGGCCCACACTGCTTGTGTGAAATACAGATCCAAGCACAGCTACCCTGTTGGGCTTTTACACCAACACCTTCTCCAGGTCTGGTTTCCTCGTTTCTAAAAGGTACCATAGTAGAATAAATCATCAGCATGGGTGTGGCTGCTAAGATGGGAACAAACTGGAAAACAGTGGACACAAAGTGCACATAGGTGGGTTCAAAGAAACTTGTAGATGGTCTCCTTTTGTTCCCAGGAAGTCTGGACAAGTTGTGACTAAAGTTATGAATTGTTAAAGGAACAAACAGACCTGGAGTTGTCGATCTAATGAAAACACTGTTTGCCTCAGTTTTCTACATATACCTGTACATTAACTCTTTACACCTGAGAAAAATTCACCAGCTAAAAATGTGTCGATAGAGACACACTTGTAATGTTGCTTTATGGAAAGTTTGAGTTTATTTTGACATATTTATGTCAACAAATGCATGTGCCAAAGTGACTATTAATGGCAAAAATGTTTTTCTGATAAACATAACCAATGAATATTCTTCATTACAAAAGTGTACCATGTCATTTGTCTTACAGAAGAAAAGTCAGTTCTTCTTCTTCTGGATTTTCCCTCTTTAGGGGTCTGCACAGCGAGTCCTCCTCCATCTCACTCTGTCCTCTGTCCTCACTCTGTCCTCACTCCAACTACCTCCATGTCCTCTCTAACTGCATCCATGTGTCTCCTCTTTGTCTTTTTCCTGCAGCTGCATTTCTAACATCCTACCAACATACCCATTGTCCCTCCTCTGGACATGTCCAAACTACTGTCCCCCCTCTGGACATGTCCAAACCACTGTCCCCCTTCTGGACATGTCCAAACCACTGCCCCCCCTCTGGACATGTCCAAACCACTGCCCCCCCTCTGGACATGTCCAAACCACTGTCCCTCCTCTAGACATGTCCAAACCACTGTCCCTCCTCTGGACATGTCCAAAC